AAATTATAATTTTGAAGGGTAATGTGACAAGAAGTTTCGAAAATTTTATTGAAAATTGGAATTTGAAGATCCACTTCATTAAATTTCAAAGCGAATTTTGACAGGAAATTTTCTATTTATATGGAGAAGTTGAATCTCTGATATGAATCTTCAACGAAATTAATAAAATAAAGAAACATTTCAAGAATTATTTGTGTGCAAATTGTTGACAGTATCTATGAAAGCTAAGCAAACATTTTTATGAGGTGATCCTGATATTCTTCAGTAAGCGGTTGATAGAGAATTCAGATAGATGGATGGAACAATAACTTTTGAACCTTAAAAAAACAGAAGTGATTTGAATGTTTAGATAACTACTAACTGTATATTAAAAAAACTAAATAAAAACTTAACGGACCTTTCATGTGATGATTTAAAGTGAACGGAAAGGAGATTCGGTTAACCGTTGGAAGATCAACGGTTGATAAAGAAACTCGAATAGTATTGAATTTTGTTGCATTCGATAAGACCATTTCACAAAGAATTCATGAAACGTTTCGTTTTATGAATTCGGAAAGGTTTATACCAGACATTCAACTTTTCAATGAATAATTTCTCTCCAAAATTCGCTGCACTAAATTTCAATTTACAACTGAAAATCTTTTCTCATAGCCACGTGGATCACAAAAACAGAAATGGTAAAAGACTACCGGCGCGAAGTGGGTGGGAAGGAAGAATACAAGGAGTAAGAGAACGAGGCCAGTCTTGGTAGCCTGGGCTTAAAGATTTGCCGTGAGGTAGGGAAGACGAAGGTAATCAAGGGGTTCAAGGTATAAGAGGAGTGGAAAGATAGAAATAATCGTAACGAAATTGATCAGTTCAGTAATATCAACAATTATTTGCTTTGGTTATTCAATATGTCGAACTAAATAAACTCTCTGCAAGATCTCAAATATATATTTTTAATGTGTTTTTTAGTCGAACTTCCAAACGATTTCATCTTTCGAATTTATGAAAACAATGTCGGGGAAACCGAAATTAGTTCTTAACTGTAAACAAGTAAAATCATTTTTCTTTTAAAGAATCGTATAATCAGATGATTGACAATTTTATAAGGTTTTGAAAATTCATCATCTGCAATGAATGTAAATGAGCTTTACATCGTTTTTGTTTGGAATCAGTAAGGCTTAAATTCTCGTCTTATAACTATCTGAATCGCTATAATTTCTTCTACTAAAATAAACCTTTAAACAAAGTCGTCCGCGGATTAACAACTCAGTAAATCAATCGGCAAACTAAAAACAACAAACTTTTAACCAAGTTAAATTAACTTCAAAACTTTCACGACAATTGAAAAGATATGCACGAAGCGATTTGATATTGATTCAAGATTGTGAACAATTCGCATAAATTTTCGTTACATTAAAAATCCTAAATGTGATAGCGATGATGAAATTGGTTTGAAATACTGTAATAAATTAAAGAAGCAAAATTACAAAAAGAATAGATGATGATCAGTAAATATTGGCCTTGGAGCTTATTTCAAATAAAACAATCCTTTGAGAAAAAGTCGAGGTTACATTTAAAGTAAAAGATGGGTATTAAATTAAAAAAAACAGCTAATTAAGTAAATTGAAATAAGAAAATAATATGTGAAAATGAAATCGAAAGGCTGAATGAATGATCGAAAGAAATGAATTCGTTAAAACAACGACAAATTTGAAGAATATATCACTATCATCGAATTGGAAAATTGAATAATTGTCAAACGATAGCTTAATTACAAGCATAATGATACTACTGATCATCTTGTCAGTAGCTCTGATAGAATGATCACTGTGCTCAAACTCATAACTGAAGATTGCAAATCAGAAAGAAAAACACAATTAGAAAAAATAAGAGATCGATTAAAGGAACGACTTGCAATTATTATTCTTTCTCACCCGGAAATTGATATTGTAATTACACTTTATTGAATAAGCAAACAAATTAATTACATTATAATTTCCTCTTGTATTGTATTGGCTAAATGTGAAGAAAAGCGATGTCAGAAACGTTGTATTGATATATTAACCATAAATGAAATTACTGTATACAACGGAGCTGAGATACTTTATTCCAAAATCAATCAAATTTTGACTTTTTTATCACTCAAGTTTGATCATGACATTGTGAATCGAAAATATACAAAACTTTGCTTCATAAAATTCATTTTACAATATAATATTTGCGAGCACATTTTGCAGAAGCACATACAACAATTTCACGCTTAGAACGTTATGACACAGTGGGAGGGCATGTCAACGATAGGTTGGCCTAAACTATAACAACTAAAACAAAGAAAAGTGATATTACTGAAGAAGACTATTTTAATGTCTCCAACATATTTCCTGCTCTGTTATTCTATCCTCCCATCATTCCCCGCTGACCTCCCATCCCAACTCTTCCTTTCTCCCCCCTCTCTCCTGGATCTCCATCCGGTCCTGGCGGACCTCTATTCCCAGGTGGTCCAGGCGGACCTGCCTGTCCTTCTGCTCCTTCAGGTCCTTGCATACCTCGCGGTCCTGGATCTCCCTTCGGACCTTCTCGCCCTGGTGAACCTGGCGGTCCTACGCTTGCTGGGCAAGCCTGAAAATAAATTTTAAATGTAGTTGCAAAGCTGCTGCTTTCAAATATTTTCTTAGAAAGAATAGATCAGGGAACTTACTTGAATGATGATAACAGTGGAAATAACCAATATGAAAGTATCGAGAAGATGCATTGGTACTAACAATCTGAAATCGATTATATGCATAACAGCCAGCTGAAAATTTTGCATTCTCAAATTTTCAAAATTTGCAAAAGAAGAAAAAATACTAAACGAAGATTTAAATTCTTATAAAAGACCATTCTACAAATTTTGTGGAATGAGACTTTTTTTATTTTTGAGCAAATTATGAGTAATCGATCAGAATTTGCAATACTTTTGAGATGTATAAAAAAGCAAGTAATTGATTGATTAGAATGTAAAAATCAAATCTA